CTTTACATAGCACCACTATTCATCTTTGTTATAACTGATAAATATTTTCCCCAATTTGCTGTTTTGTTCTTACCTCTCAAGAAGCACCTTTACTGCCTCTAAACAGCCGTGCATTGCTGGGAAAAGAGAGTTGAGAATTATAGCTTTTAGTGCACATATAAGATGCTTTTCCCTTCTGGTTCCACTTTTTGCCCCATTCTTTTACTAATGACTCACAGGAAGAAATAATTAAATTAGGTGTAGTTACCACCCTAGAAAAATCAAAATGTAACTGTTTAAGTGGTAAAAGATGATATTTCCACTTTACATGTACACAGCTGACATGTGACTATCTTATCTTCATGAGAATTGTCATCACAATCTTGCAATTCTAAACTCATCTCTCCACTTTTGTGCTGCAAATCCCCAAGGCCAGTTTTTGCCCAGGAAATGCAAAACATTTTAATAGTAATCCATGACAAAATAACCAAGAATTTAATTCTCCTACAAAAAATGACTACACTCAATAATAAGGTCTTTGACTATCTGTCCTCTACTACTTTGGGTCAATGATGGGGGTGCTGTTTCTCTAGGGGAGGTGGGAGTGGGGAGCCCAGATAACTCATGAGCTACAAAGTTTTCCCATTTACTTGTAAAGTTTTAAAAAGGATTCTTTTATCTCTAACTGCCAACTGTGGCCAGAGAATAACTGTAGCATATTTCCTAGACTATATCATATCACAGACATTGATCTTTAAAGAAACAAACAGCCCTGTATCCTAACTCAATGTGCTACCGAAAGGCTAAAGGTTATTTTCTAAATTTCTTGATCTGGACTCTTCAGCTCCTTTATATCCACTTGTTCTTATGTCACAGCAATCTTGCTTTTTACTAATTTAAAATAATCTACGGATAGATAATTCAGTGAAGGATCACTACTCCAAACTGGCCCCACATTTACATTTGACATCATCATTAGATATGTCAAATACGCTTGGGCTTAAGGATTTAATTATAAGCATCTATATTTATTTAAATGTATAGCACTATGGTAGGTGTCACTAAGAACATGAAGGAATACAGTCTCTCTTCCTCCTGCCTTTAATAAATACAATGTGGAAATTATAAAAATAGCAGCAACCAGCTATTCAGTGCTTACTATGTGCAAACATTGTCTAAGGGATTACATATATTGGGCTCTTTAAAAGAGCCCAACCCTGTGACATGGGTATTGTTACATGATTATTTTGCTGATGAGGAAACTCACTCAAGAGAAAGACTAAGTTCCTTGCCCATGGTCAAAGACTTTGTAAAGAACAGAACCAGCTCACCGTCTAACTAGGGAGAATACATGAAAAGTGAATGATATAAGAGGAGCATGCTAGCCAAGTTACATCAGCTTTAGAAACTAACTGTATGCCAAAGTCCCCAAGATGCTCTTCTTTCCTGCCCTCTATTTTGCACAATCCTCCGTTCCCCTGCAGGTGACCTGAGCAGAATGACGTTTGCAGTGCTGGGTGGAGGAGGCTGCACATGTGTACCTGCCGTGTGCAGAGGAGTTCTTCTAATCTTGCTCTCTGTCTTCCAGGCATCTGGGCAAACAGTGAGCAAGTACTGGAGGATCAGAGGGTCGCCTTCTCGACTGGCAATGTGGAAACTGTTCCAGCCGTCTTTGTTCTTCAGCAGCGGGTTGGCGCCACGTTCCACAAGGTCCTGGATCACCTCAAGGTTCTTCCTTGTGCAAGCCATCATCAGGGGAGTCCTAAGGCCAACCAGGACAAGCTGTCAGATGGAGGCAGCTGAGGCGAGAAGCAAGAAGCGAGGGACCAGGTCTTCAGAAAACACACATCCTTGGCACAGATGGAAAACCTAAAAGATCAGGGGCCTGGGAAGCAGGAAAACAGCTCTGACTAGCAACTTCTCTGCCAGCCGTGAGGACCCTGAGAGAAATAACAAGGGGAAAACAATCCTATGAGTGTGCATCTGCAGGAGGGGGGTACCTAGGAGGTAGAGCTGCTTAGAGCTAGTTCACAGGATAGCAGTGAATTGGGACAGAGCTAATAAGCACCATAAACCACCCTCAAACATAACCAGTAGGGGAGATGTAATTTATGTAACTATATGGCTCTCTCCTCTGTTTCCAACTTATATCGGATCAGAAATCACTTGAAGGCAGGGACTTCATCACGTTATGAACCTCTTTTAAGAGGGTCACAACCTCTAACGAACTCAACATAGGGAGTGCTAAAAACAATGTCAATCTAACAAACAAAATACGATGGCTTTGTGTGACGGTAGAGTATCTTGATTGTAGTGGTGGTTATGCAAGCCTACATATGCTATAAAATTACACAAGGCTCAACACCCACAAGAGCACAAGTATACCTGATGAAATTTGAGTATGTATCCCGCATTGATTACAGTAATGTCAATTAAAACAATGCAACTGGTGAAGTGGTAATTCAGCTAAATGTCCTCAGAAGAACATCACATCCCGAGGCTATATGTAGTACACACGATCCACTGTTTGATTACATTGCTTGTAGTTTACCCGCACTATGGGGGAAGGCTGAGCCAGGGCGACCCTGCCGCTGAGCGAGCCTGGGCTGAGAACTACGAGCTGAGAAAAGCTACGGTGTGGAAGGGGACGGACGGCGTACACGAAAATCTACGACTGTGCGGGGAGTGGGGAGGCGGGGTGTCTTTCTGGAGCCCCAACACCTACCAGTCGGCCTTCTTCAGGCAGTCGACCGCCGCGCCTCGGCCCAGCAGGTAGCGCACGCAGTCCCCGTGGCCCATGGAGGCAGCCTCGTGCAGAGGCCGCTTGTAGTCTCGGTTGGCGGCCTCGATGTCCAAGCCCCAGGCCTCGACCAGATAGGCCAGGACGTCCAGGCGCCCGTGGCGGGCAGCGCAGTGCAGGAGGGTGTCCCCGGCCGGCCCCGGGCAGCCTCCGTCCGTCCGCAGCTCCCCCTGCAGGGCGCGCAGCCGGCCCTCCTGCACCAGCCTACAGAGGCGCCGCGGGTCCCCAGGCCCGGCCATCGCCGCGGGCCGGGCCGGGCGCGG